CTGGCAGGCTTGCACCTGGAACGGGCACCATAGCCAGCCCGTGCCCCTTTAAGGGCTCCGGGGCCGGGAGGGGGGCAGACGAGTTTCCCTGGTGATGCCCAGAGTGGCCACCAGGGCAAGCTGGGGAGGGCTAGCCTCCCACTAGTTCGAATTAAGGGGCTACACAGCCCTTAATTCGAACTAGTAAATTCGAACTAGGCTTAGTCCTCGTGGAATGAGGTTTACCTAGTTTGAACTAAGCGCTCCGCTAGTTCGAATTAAGTTTGAACTAGCGGAGTGCTAGTGTAGCACCTATCAAAGTTAATTCGAACTAACGTCTGTTAGTTCGAATTAACTTTGTAGTGTAGACATACCCAGAGTGAGCAAGAACAGAGTATTAATGTTAAAATATTATTAGTGTTAAATTTTTTCACAGTATCAAGCTGTCAAAGCCAGTTACACAACCTGGATTCAGCCCCAGCCCTTAAGCCTGCCTGATTTCCATAGGCATTCCCAAACTTTCCAAGGAAAGAATGATTTTAGATTATTCCAGATGCAGAATGCAAACTTTCCATAGTGCAGAGACATAACAAAGAATGAGTACCATTGATTTTAACACAAGCAATATAAACTGATCTCCATTAGCTAACTCTGCATTTCAGAGGGCTGTCATTAGCGCTACAGATGAAATGGTTCAGTGTTGCCAACTCTTGCAGTTTTATCACAAGTTTGTTTTTCCTTAAAGCGCAAGCTTCTGCAGTCACGCGATTAGATGTGATGAGACAGACATCTATCAGGATAATCTAGATGGTGTTTGGTGTTGTCATGAGGGCTCGGTACTGGACTTGATGACCTCTTGAGGTCTCTTCCAGTTCTAGTGTTCTAGGATTATGTGAGAAACTCAGTTTAAAAATATTTCTGGTTTCTTCCTGGGCAAGGAAAAAAGCCCTAAAGGCAAGTATGGTCTTTACCTCAACATATTTTTTGAAATCTCTGTGTTTAAGCCAAACATGACTTTTTAGGAATCAACTCATGGGGAGTTGTTTTTTAAACATTTGGGAGTGTCACTACTGGTAGTTAGTGAGAGAAGTGCAGCAGCTACAATGTACAGAACAAATAGTGCATTGCTATGATTCCAGGAAAGAGAAGATCAAGATAGCAAAGCCCTATTAGGCCATCCAGCCATCCCCCGAGGAGTTTGCTTTCCCTTCCCAGTTGTAAATTTTACTACTCTGACGGTCTGAAAATAAGAGATTAGGATGTCAACGTGTAGTCAACTACATGATTAACCGATAAGCCTGGGCTTCTTCTCGGTTAATCCTATTGATTATACATATTCCCTCTCCACCCGCCACCATGGGATGCTGGCACAGCCTCTGTCCGCAGGGAGCTCAGGTCCCCCACAGCCACCCTGCTGCCTCTGATACAGAGGCAGTAGCAAGGGTGGCAGAGAGCTTCCTGGGAGTGGGGCCACAAGCACTCTGGCTGCCCGTCCCACCTTCTGGGACTATCAAATGATTGCGTAACAACTAAAATTTGATGCAGTTACACAATTATTGAATTAATCAGTATCTAACATCCCTAGTAAGCGATTAGCATTTCTATTTTTAGGAAATCCCCTAGAAGGGAGAGAAATGTTTATAAAAGGGTTCTGTAAGAGGAAACAAGTATATTGCAGTAGGAGCTGTGGAGATGAAGAAGAAGAAATGTTCTTCCCCATTGACTGAGTAGTTCTGCCTGGTATTCCCCTGCAACAATTCTAAAGGAAAGTAATCTTTGCCTCACTGATACAATCTTTTTCTCATTCTACTATGATCATAGGCTTCACCAGGAAGTAATTTTAGAACAACAAATGATAGCTCAAGTTCTTCCAAGTGGAATCAAGTTGGAGTTCGGAACACAGAGAAATATCTATCTATATGCACACCACAGATATTAATATGTATGTGTGTACAAGTAATCACTTTTAAATACACACACACACCCCTCCACAAACCCCACCTGACATGAATCTGCATTTGCTCCCCTTACAGAAAAATAAAGACATAAGGTGTACAAGAGAATGTGGACACATCGCCTTGCTTATCCTGTGAGAGACATTTACCCACATCCAGAGACAGCTCTTCACCTCTAAGTACAGAAGAATCTACAAACGTGCTAGCCATGCTATTAGCTAAACAGGAGATAAGCTAGTAAAGAAGTGAGAGGAAAGTAACAATATACAGCATACTAATTACACTAACAGCGATTGCAACCCCAATACCAGAAACACAGAACATCCCTGTTTTCTGACCTATTTACACCTGATATGCAACTGGTGCTGCTGTTTTTCCTCACTTCATCTGGCCCACAGACATGAACGGGTTTCATTCCCACCAATGTGTGATGTTAGATCACAAAATATTTGGTGCAGGAGCCATATGCATTTGTCCAGCCCTTAGCATAATGGATCACTGATCCTTGATCAGGTGCTTTATTTAAAATACTTCTAGGACCACTATGGCTGTAGTACCTGTACTACAGCCATCTTTCATATATTAACTCTCAACTCCCTTCGAGGTTCAGAGTTGCTATTCTTTCCATTTTACCGAAGGAGAACTGAGGGAGAAGAAGTCTGTTGTGGTGGAGACATTTGTATTCAAGTCCCTAAATCCTCAGATTGGCATACAAGCCCCTGGACCACTCTTCCTCTCATACTCCTATAATGCAAAAAGCCCAATTGCTTGTCTAAACTGAAACCCATTTACATTTTCTTTTCATTTTCTAAAGGCTGTTTAAAGTTGCTTTAAAAATGCAACTGATGAGGCAGAACGCAAGTTAACTTCAGATTCCGGACACTTATAAAAGATTGTTGTTCACTGAAGGCACTGAGGACGGAACATTCCGTGACCCACGTGAGTAGGAGCAATTTAGATTGGAGGTGGCGATATTTCAAGCAATCATCAAGGCCAGCTAGACCTGAACAAAGAGTAGGTGGAATAACCAAGTTCACCCAAATGAACCGTTACCACAACAAAAAGTTGAACATTTAGAAAAGCTTTTTTTAAAATTAACTCGACAAAAGCAATTGGCTAGAAAATCAAGTTGTAACGTGCATAGCTTAAAAAACCTGAACAAACATGGCAACCCTAAATCTCCAAATACAATGGTGTAAGGATCAAAGCACTTCATTTACTGCACGTCATGCTTGCAGCATCATGGGCAGCTAAAAGTCCAATCCAAAACAGAAGTCATTGGCGCCTGTTGCTCATGTCTCCTCACTCTCCTCTCCATCCAATAATCTCGCTCCAGCCCCTCCAAGTTCTTGATGCAACTAAACTACCAAGTGCAGCCCATTGCTAGCTGCATCCTAAGTCCCTCTTACAAATAAATGTCTTTAAACCTGGACCTAAGTCACCCCCAAGATCTTGGAGCATCCATAAATGTTCCCAAACAGGAGATTCTTTGGAATGTATCCATTGTGCAGTCAGTGCCAATAACCAAGCCAATGAAGACATCTGTGTTTGAGATCAGTGATTAGACCTGGCAGTTCTGAATTTTGCTTTTTCAAGGACTTCTGTGTCAGGCACATTGGTTCTCAACATG